CGTCACACATAATGTGATTATATTTGGTTTGAAGTTAATGCATATCTGTTTGATTACCGAATTCTGACGATACAGATGATCTAAACTGTTTATGTGCCATTCGTTGGTTACCTGAGGGCAAGTGTTGGAACCAGTATAACGGTGTACTTCCTATGTCCTATAGGTAACTCTTTTGAATAGTGGCATGGCTCATAATACACAAACTATACAAACTATTTAATTTGAAATAACCAGTGCACGTCTAAATTTAAGCTTTATAAATTAAGGGAGAGGGGCCACGCTCCGCCCCTTCTGTTATAACAGAAGCTTGGACCGATTTAGAATTAGATTCTTGTGGACACTAGTATCGCCGGTGACTCGTTGAAGGACGAAACAGCCGTATGCTGCATTGTCAACCATTTTCTTGCATGCTGTATCAATTACCAAATGTTAAAGTGCAATAATCTGGGGGTGTATGTTCATCTTATAACACTCGTTTAATGCGATAGGAAGGTGAATATAGGTTTCCTTACGGATAACGAGCGCAGAACAGATACTGAATACGTAAGGTATAAAGACAATCGAAACATAATCGTCATTCAATTACCCCCTACCCCTTTCCAACCCACTACACAATTTCAACGAAAGAATCGACGCACTTTGATTAAATATTAGTGCTGCTGATTCTATTTTAGCATGGCTGTACCTACATGTATAAATTTATATATGAGAACGAATTTCGAAATAAATCAATTAAAAATCAACGATTCATCATTTAACCCCAAACATCATTAGGGTTCTGTTGAAATCCCGCGCGACAAGATTGGCAAATGATGAATCTCATCTGACCCCTAATTTTCCATTTATCTTGTACGCAAGCCCCTCCCCATGTCACAGTGACATCAGCAGCCGGGCAAAGCTCACTAGTTATAAAGGGTTATCTTCAAATCGCCAATCAAGGCCAGTGCCATGTCGACTTTCCAGTCCATAGTGACATCACGTCCGGTAAATTTCGGTACATTGTAGCATACCGTGCGAAATGATTTCGATTAACCATTGTAATACCTTGCGAAATCATACAAAAACGAAGGATATAGAAAAATGCAATACAAATAAATAAATAAATAAAAAATGATTTAAGGATTTTCGACGCCTTTATTGGTTATGTCTAGGTTTCATCATGCCTTTATAATTGTGAACATAATTAGTCTATAAAAATAGATATCCCAATGATAATTATTCCAGTGAGCTCATGCATATTGTTCTTGATTTGACATTTTTTTCTACAAATAAGAGGCCCATTTGACAAAGACCGCTCACATTTAAACAAACGAACTTATTTATTTGACCTTCAAAGTTAGTCAAAGTCAAATATATTTCAAATGTTTAAACAGTCAAGCTACCTCTGTAGGCTAAATAACAATACTCTTCCCCTTTTGCACCTTTAGTGTTTTAAATCTATATTACTTGTGGAAATGTCAAACTTTTGTCAATGTATTATAATTTAACAAATTTGATAGCCATTTACCCAAGCATGCATCAAAATCAAATATCTTGACCAAATTCCTCGTTTTCAAGAAAAATCTTTTAAAAAATCAACACACTAACACAGTTATCCTCTATGACCGCGAACAAAGAACAGTATTTTTTGTAATCTATGTAGCTTTCCATACCAGCTAGCTGCCGTCTAAACATCATGACATCATGAATTTTTGATCTTAAGAGAACTCTTTGCAGCACTTAAACAAATTGGAATCATGACCTTGAATGGGACACAAGGTTTGGAAAAACTAGTAAGATTCAGCCGAATATTATGACTCTAGGCAATCCGGTGTTTTTTATAAACAAAAGTCGTTTTAGCTTTGAAAAATAAATTGACCCCTGTAACCTTGAAAAGAGGTCACCGCATTTGATTTTCACAAAAGTTCAGCACTGTCAGAATACTACTGTACTCAAGAAATATCGAAACTTTTTTGGTTGGTTTATTTTGATGCTGCTGTGGTACACTTGTTACATTTGCTTGATATAGTGGAATATATTCTACGGGAATCATATGTGGTTTTAACTGAGTATAAATAACTGTTTATGTTGTATATGCTGTGGTTAAATTGCCCACGTTAGGTATGTTCCATTCGTTGTTCATTATATGTGAGTTTTCTTTATAACAACCTGTGTGTAGATGTGGGTCGGTTTATGATCTGAATGATCAAACGCATACGTCTGCAATCTGGTGAAGAATTCGTCAATGATGGTCTGTTTCTCATCCTCCGTTCGGGAAACAGACAATCCTCCGCAAAGCACGTGATGTATCCACGGGTAAATCGAAGCAACTATTGTGCGGGAATATTCCAGTTGTTCTGCCTCGTCTGTAATATTACAGAATCATAGATATATTTTATCTTCATTTTATCAGAAGTAATTACAAATGATATGATCACCATTTTTCTTTAACTTCCTTCGTTATTTTTATAAAGATCTACTGGAAGTTGGTATAACATTAATGTATGAAAAAAAAAAAAAAAAATAATCTGTTATCCATAGTTCCGCCACGATTTCTCGCTTGAATGAGAAATCGTGCTGGTGTGAAAAATCGCGAACACATCAATTTAAGGGCGATTTCTAACCCGGTTAAGAAATCGTTGCGAAACACCCANAAAAAAAAAAAAAAAAATAATCTGTTATCCATAGTTCCGCCACGATTTCTCGCTTGAATGAGAAATCGTGCTGGTGTGAAAAATCGCGAACACATCAATTTAAGGGCGATTTCTAACCCGGTTAAGAAATCGTTGCGAAACACCCATCCTGGTTTCAATACTACCTGAATATACCTCACCTTTGTTGACAATATCAAACGTTGAGTGTCGTGGATAGTGTTTAGTTGTTTTAACAGACACCAGTTCCAATCCAAGTTCCCTTACTTCCGGTAGAGCACTGGTGAACGGTTCCTCAAAATCGGCCGGCTTTCTCAGATAGTGGCAATGAAAGTTTGTTCCAAGATACTCCTCCTGTGAATATAGACAATTGATTATTATTTGATAATGACTGGAAATAAAATGAAGGAAGCACATGTTTAAACGTTTCGTTTGTTGATCAGTCAAACAACGTAAATATTAACTGCACCATATCACCATATCACCGTTTCGTCCATTTAATATTCATCACTTGAGCGAAGATCAAAAGAATGAAATTATTTATCAAAATGTTCTAAAATATGTGTAGCAATACAACACTAGGAAAAGGTGCCTTTTTAACCCTCAATAGATTAAGGATCCCTGTCCCACTGCAGTGTTGATTTTCGTATATACTGTACCTCCCTTTTTTATTTGTTTATTTCAAAAACATTTTTCCAGAAGAGAGCCGCAAGATATGGTTTTCTTTTCAATAACAACTTATGGTAGCTTTGGTAATGCTGAGGAAAACACAGTTTCCTATGTAATAAGTTACAGTTGTTGGAAGTGATAGAAATAGGGATTACATTATGTAGTGAAGTAGACGGGTGCTATATTTTAGTCATGACTGTAACACTGCGGAAACAGATGTAATACTGGTACAGAGACAGGAAATCACAAGGATAATTACGTCGAAACGGTTTAAGTGGGATTACATGAGCATGCAGATACGTTCTACGAAAGGACTAAATTATAAATTACACTACAATTATTATTTTGTTTTCTTCAAGCGAGTACCTGTGACCTTGGGTGGGGCAAAGACAAAGATAAAACCCGTGGTTTTTTTTACAGAAGTGAATCGATACAATTAATGGACTACCAAAAACAGATTAACCACATACATTATTATTGAATACAGACTTTTCTTAACCGTTTAGCGTACAGCCCCACAACCCCCATACACGATTTAAGAAATTGCGATCACGATTTAAGAAAAGTTGAAAAATCGTGTTGATTCGTGCTCGACCTTGTGGTTTATGCAAATTTCTTAACCAATCACGACCCTCATACGACCAAAAACGACCCTCATACAACCTTATACGGCTGAACATGACACTCATACGACCGTCATAATATATTCATACGATACAACACGATTTAACCTCATTTAACACGACCCTAATGCGACTGCCATACGACCAAACACGACTGTCATACGACGCCCATATGACTTAACACGAATCAACACGACCGCCCTACCATTAAACACCAATCATTACGATATCCATACGACTACAAAAATAAACATGATCTCCATACGACTAAGCAAGACCTTCATTCGACATATTTTTGTTTATTTTGTTCATGAAGTGAAATGTCTTCAGATGGAGATGAAGGTGGAGGTGATAGTGATGGAATGTTAAATGGACTATCCTCCGGCTCAGATGGCTGCTGAGATGGCTGGATGTCAGTTTAAGTTGTTGTTGGCGATTTTGGTGGTGGTTCAGAGGTTTCAGCTGGCTCATCTTGTCCCTGGGTATCGGGTGGATGTTCATCCATAGTTGGTGGTGAAGGATGTTTCTCTTTCAAAGGTTTTGCTTGGAGGAGTTTATGTTTTGGCCGCCTGAGGTTTGACATGGCTGTAGAATGAGCTTTCACTTTCAGGGGGTTTCCCACGTTCTCACTCAGTCATGTGATGGGCTCGTATGGATTTCGTGTTCAGGCGTATGGGAGTCGTATGAAAGTCGTGTTGAATCGCGTTAAAACTTATGAAGGTCGTATGAGTTTCTTCCCATGCTCCCCGACTCGACTGAACACGACTTTCATTCGACTGAACACGACGTGTCAGTTCGGCTTAAATCGTGTTATAAATTTGTGCATTGCAAAGATTTATAACACGATTTAAACCGAGCTGCTACGGCCATACGACCGGGCGCGACCGACCAAGACTTAACACGAATGAACACGAATGATTGTGCGACCTTCATACGTTCCAACACGCTTTAAGGAAAAACGTTAAATCGTGTTCATTCGTGTTCAGATTCGCGAATGTGAGATAGGGGTTACAGTTATCTGATGTCCTAACATTACATCTTTTAAATAGAAAAAGCTATTAATTGTTGTCAATTAGGATTTTTTCAGCATCATTAGCCAAATCGTAAATTTCGAAAAGAGATAGCAGATTCACCAATAAGGGGTCGAGAAAGCAAATACGACAAAGCAACATCATTATCTTTACTGACATTAACAACTACGTGTGACTACTCTGGTTATTTCTATATAAATAACATATTTGAATATAAGGATCCATTTAACACTGCACTGTATTTTTTATATACAGTTACCTCGCTTTAACTTCCATTTAGATATAACTACAGAAACAGTTGGGTCAGGACATACAGTTTGTATCCGTTAATCAGGTAGCTCAATCTGTTAGATCGATAGTATAACACTCAGAAGTCTAGGGTTCGAAACATTATCTAGCCCCAATGAGTTTTTACACTCTATATTGGTTATACTTTGATTATTTCATCTTCAGTATTTCTCATAAAAGTCCGGGACTATATCTTTTTCTTTCCAGAAATAAGTTATCAAAGATATAGTCATGCCGGGGAAAAAAGGTTTCCAACACTTTGCGACAGTGGTACGGGGATCCTGAACATATTATATTAAGCACCAGTTACTACATACATGTACATATAGATAAATTAACCACATACCTGTGAAATTATGCTTTCTCTTGCCATATCAGACACGATGCTCCCTAGACTTAGAAATCCCCCATCTAGTTGCAATAATTTATCGTCATTTTCGTTGGAAGATGTGGTTATTGTTATAAGAAAACCACCTTAAACACCAGTAAGTCATAATTTTACCAACGGTTGTTTTAACAATAACGGGCAAAGATACATAATAAGGCATTATTAGTGTAAATAGGCAAAGCTCATGCTTAATTCTTTATGATAAGTTCATATATGTAATTTCCATCTCAAATCTGCTCTTCAAGTCGAAAACTGATGTTAAAAACCAAACATAACGTTAAATATCTCACCATGGTATTGTTAAATGAAAATATTATCACCATAATAACGAACAGCATATCCTAAAAATATTTATAATAAGTTACGAAAACAAATGTGACATACCAGGCTTTAGTTCCCGTCCTCTAGAAATAACAAAAGACCTCCAATCAGCTTTTGCTTGTTCCTTCATCAAACATTGTTCAATGTCATCTGCTTCGCCAATGAATACACCATTTTTTATTTGACAAACTCTAAAATTGATAAACACTATACAGATTTAAAAAAAGATAAACATTGTAATTATAAATGCAAATTCAGAAAAATGGATATAGTAGAATAGATAATTTCAGGTTTAAAACTTTTTATTTCATGTCTTACACCTATACAATATGAAAGATATTTAATGGTTTCCTTTTGAATACCATGTATATAGTTCAAGAGTATTGAAGAATATTGATTTTTTTTCACGAGTACGAAGCACGAGTGAAAATGTTGGTATATTCTGCGATACGTGTTAAACATATCAAGTATTCAACAGAAATATTATTCAATGTCATCATTTTTTTTTTTTTTTTTAAATAAACACGAAGCAAATATTGCTACATCCAAAACGCACTGGAATTCACGGGGTAATATTTGACGCCACATTTCAATGACGTAACGCTTAACAACAAGACAGGACGCCATTTTGAATAGTTTGCTGAATGTAATTTTGTCGTTTGCTGCAAATATTAGGTAAGAGTACAAAATAAATTAATATTAATTGTGTAGTTATGTTAAATCAAACTGTATGTTGCAAAGGTTTACCGAAACAACTACTTAGTTTGCCGTCGCTTCAACTGAACTTGAAACCAAAAATCTACGCGGTGAATAGAATTGAGCAGAGTTTGAACAATACTAAAAGTGATATCTTTTCATGCAAAGATATAACATTTCGTACATTTGCACTCAATTGACGATAACACTTTTTTTATTTAATGGATAATTCATGATATTTCACTGGTAAAAATGTAAAAAAAAATGTTATTCAAAGGAAAACGACTACTGCATATTGGGATTTTTTCGCTGGAGTGTAATTTTTGACATTTTCGCCCTCCGTAGTGAGGGTGAATACATTGAAACGAACATTAGTAAACAACATAGCATACCTAGTAAATAAATGTGATGGGCGAAATTAAAACTGGAAGTATATGGATTTTAGAGACGAAAGGCGAGTTTGATTAGGCGAACATTTTCCGGTATACAATATTAAATTTATTAAAATTTATCTGAAACAGGTCACTGATACGTACTGTTTTGACAAATAATGTGTTGCTACAGAGGAAATTGCCAGGTCCAGAGTATTGTTCGGGAGACATTGTTCAAACATAGTCCTAGGAACGATCACCCAATAGACGTTATTGTTGACAGTTCGTCCATAATCCTGTCTATTACCTGAGAAACACATTCTTCAACTCGATTCATTTTGTTAACCAGTGCTTAAGAAATTGTCAACATTAATTCAGAGATGTACATTGAACGGAAGCTATTTTACAAATCAAAACAGTATCCCTTGAACTTTTAGATATATCTTACGTGAATCTAGTTCTTATCTGTTCTTAAAATGAAAATATAAATTATGATAAGCGTTTGATTCACCATTGCTAATTTAAATCAATTGGTAGCAAAATCAAGAAATTACTATCATTTTTTATCAAATAATCCTGTCATTATGTCATCGAAAGACATCGTAATGCATTATACAACCTTGGATGACTTTGCTTAGCCGATTGAAGTCGTTCATCGGTTGATCGTTATAGTACACGACAATGGCTTGTTCCTTCCCTAGATCTGTTTGTATGACATCTGTAACATAATTGTACTTTCTTAACCTGCATTGAAAGAGGCACTTTATATTGAACGTTTTTTCTTGTCTAATGGTATTATATTTACCTATCATTTCCTTGACGAGCGACAGAGAAGCTTGTCCGTCTGCAGTTCCATAATCTGCTATGTTGACTGGATGTTCCGTCTTGGAAGCTTGTCTTGAACTAAGTATTCTTCCTAAATGAATTAAAGTCAAGGCAATTAAACATAACATAACATTATCTTTATATATCATAATAAAGTTTTGATGTATTAAACCACATCCTCTATGTAACGAAAATTTCCAGTTGTTATTAATAATTAATCATTGGGATCGATTTTCACGTTGATGCTCTTTTTATTCCAATAAACTAACGCTCTTCCAGCTCCATATATTGCAAATACAAATACGTGGGTCGATTTTGTAGCTGGTCTAGGACGACATTTCTTTGTAAAATGAAGGTACACGTCTGCATGTACATTTTTATTTTTTTAAACACACCGATATCTGAAACTGGCAACAAGCTGCAGCGTGCAATTGTACCGAAGCAGCTGTACGCTACTTGTTGCTGAAATAAAAATGAGGCATCATGTGAGAAAGCTTGGCTCACAAATTGGCGCGCGTAAAAGAAGAATATTATCATAAGAATCCCAGGTATATATAAAAGCGCATTTCATTGTATTCTAACGTGATATGATTATTAACAATAATTTTGTATACACGGGTGAAACAAATAACCGAGGATTTGAATATGTTTATAAAATGATATGTCATTAATCTTTATTAGAAAAACATATTCACAGATCGACCTTTAGATATTTCATATTAATAAAAATAAAAGACTTGAATTTCTCAGATTTTTCAATGGTAGACATCAAGTATTCCAATCTGTATTTTTTAAAAATATTCATGTTGATGAATTTTCCTAACTTAGATATAACATAATGTTATATTTTTCATATATTACAGGTGGGTTTTTTTGCGGGAATGCTTATGTATGGTAATTAATTGTATCTCACTTAGACTTTCTAAGATGGCCGCCCGACTGATATTGCCCATGTGGCCGTGAACATTGTACATGTCGTCCTTCTCATCACTAAAACTGGTCGCCATCTTCATTGTAGGATAATAGCTAAAAACAGAAACAAAAAAATATTTTGTTGCATCATAATATCCGGAAAGCCGACAAAACAAAAATATGTAATCAAGCCGAGAGTTCCAATGGACTTGTATTGCTCACCTAATCTGAATCTCACACCATTAACATTAAAATGGACCAAGGTTAAATATATTTAAATATACTAAATAAAGTTACCTGTCTAAATATCATAAGAGGGTCAAGGTCATTAACTTAAACATATTTGGTACCCCTTACACCCGCATACTACTTGCCAAACGCTATCATATTAGACATGTTGGTTATTGAGAAGAAATCGTTTTTAGCCAAAAAGTTGACTTCGATCTGACAATGGACGCCGCAGAACCCATAGCATTTTGGCAAACGGTAAAGATTATTGAATTTGTTTTTCATAATATTTTGTCTGAATTTGTGCTACAATGGTGATAATACCAAACAATTATATTCCTGACAATATCACTAGACAAAGTTTATTTCATAAAAATGGACAAATGCAGCATTGCATGTAAATAGACAAATATGAAATTAGGAAATCGTGTGTTATTTAGGTCCATTACAAACCCGATGAATCTTAATATACTGAAACAGTCAGTTTACATCCAATGCAAATACAAAGTCCTATATTTTCTACTGCGGTTAGATTTGTATTACTCTGAACATATAAAGCGGTTGTTATCCATTGATCAAACCGACGATTTGAAACAAGAACGGTCTCTATCATTCTAGCAACATTTGCCCATAGAAAGCACGTTTAATTGTGCATTTGTTTTTATAATTTTTTGGACAGGGACACATTTAACTAAACATTGACAAACGTGAATGATGACATCATCGAATTTATTGCTTGTGACGTCACAATGGGTGATATTGCAAACTTTACAGACACATTATTATCAATCGGAAATAGTCGGTACTCTCCGTGAACGAGACAATTATCGTTTACGGTTAGTGCCGGCAGTTCCCGATTGAACAATCATGTGATGATGTTGCAATACTGCATTTAATAAATGACCGTATGCTATATGATAAGCATAAATGATAAGTTATTATTTTTATCTAATTTTTATGTGAACGTTTCAAAGACTAAGTTTGTTACTTGTTAATATGTTTATGGCTTTAATCAGCTAGAAAACAAATTGAAAAAATATCAACAACTCCTCCTAAGCACTTTTATCTCATCAAGGATATTCACCAGAATGTTGTTTAAAGGAGAAATTCTGACGTCATAAACCATGACGTCACATAAA